AAGTATTTAATTCGAAACACAGCTTGTAATATTTGGTTTTAATTCGGCTTTTATCGGGGTTTATTTTCTGTATTTTTGTATTTTGTAATTTTTTGTATTTTGTGTTTACTATTTGTTTTTAATATGCTGTGAACCGCCCTGAGTCCTATGGGAGAAGGGCGGTATACAAATTAAAATAATAATAAATAATAATAATAATCCTGGATGAAAAGGGCAGGGCCACAGTTCAAGCTCAATTTTTGGTAGGATTTGATAGGGTACTGCCAGCTACTTTAGAGGGTCACTTCTTGTCAATTTAGAACAGTTTTCAATTTTATAGTGTCAAGTATTATTTAGATTCCTAAAATCTTCAATCAACATGCCCAATAATTATGGTGTCCCAGCATGGAGAACCATGCTGAAGGCCAATTCTGAAACACATATGGTGACATTAAAATGCAAATCTTATATACAGTACTTGCATTCAAATGTTGGACCTACATAGGAATCCAATATTGGGTCTTACAGGTTCTTAAATACACAGATCTTAACTGATGGGGTAGAAACTACCTTCTGGTCTGCAGTCAGATGAGATGTGGATTGCATCAGCAGCACAACCACTGTACAAATACAGGGAAGAAGTCTTGTGTATGTGTGCTTTTAAGGCAATGTTAATTCCTGGTTGCTACCTGGACGAGTTGCTGCAGTTTTCTTGGCAAGATTTTCCATTGCTTTTTTTCTGGGGCTGAGAGAGAGAAGCTGATCCAAGGTTGTCCAATTGGATTTATGCTTAAGGTGGAATTAGAATCACTCCCTAAATACTATGCTTGCTAAAGAGGGTCTTGAACCTAAAAAAATTGAAGGCTAGCGGTACAGAGGCTATTAAACTAGACATTTTTTTAAAAATTGCTTCCAGGTTCATCCCTCTTACCTTAGGTGCCCACCAGGTGATGCCCATGTGCAGGGCATAATCACAGCACACCTTTGGGTCAGCCAGGCTACGACACTTCTCATAAGCATCCAGCAGGGAAGTTTCTTTATCCGGAAGTACATGTCCTATAACCATGGTGGTCCCCCCAACCAGGGCTGCCTACATATGGAGAAAGAAAACAACCCTTTAGAGATTTATATTTACATATCTGAAATTATTTCTATTCCTTTCTTGCATCATTTTTATAGCTTTCAGGGAGCTAAATATCAAATATAGTAACTACCTCATATTAGCAAAATTAATATATTACAGACATTAGCAACAATAAAATATTAAAATATTTAAAAATCCTCCAACACAAGAATCGCAATATTTTAAACAGCCAAACAAATAAAAAAGGCTTTTCACTTTATATTGAAAATATAGCCCAGCTGATACCAGATAAAGACTACATTTGGTAGAGAATAATCACAACCTATCTTGCCTCCAATAGCAATGCAGAAAAAGTTTTTAGATAACTTTTAAAAATTTTCAGATACAGAAATAAAAACTAACAGAAACTAATGATTGATGTAGAAGAAAGCTAATTTTTTGTTGCCCAGGCTTAGAATGGACTTCCGGAAGTGGCATCCACACAGAGAACCGGTTATTCGCATATTTGAATCCCACCACTGCCTAAGGGGGAGAGAACAGATCAAAATTGAAACAAAGCAAAATGGAGCTGCTGTTTGTATACCAGGAACATAGGATCTAGAGATGGCCTCTTCTAAAGGGGGCATACCACAGCTTCTTTCAGGGCTGCTGACAGCTCCCCCCCTCAAGCAAAGGGTTAATTAATAATCTCATGAATACAGGCAGTGACTTCTCCAACCCCTCCTTGCAATAGCCAGGATATTAGCTGAACAAGAGCTCCATGTTCAACAAAACAAATATTGGCATTGAATCAAAGGAGAAAGCTACTGCCCATATGCTTTCCTTGGGAACTTCCTGATAGGAGAGCTAGGCAGGAGCCAGTAGAGCTGTTTGGTAAAAATAAAATCGCTCAGCTTCAAGGCCACTAAACACCATGCCAAGAATCTGGAATCTGTTAATTTAAACCACTGCAGAGTTATAATCATTTGTATCATTGTAGTCTGCCAATCAGCTGTTTTGAATGCCTTTGTTTTTGTCTGCAGTAAATAAATCTTATCTGAGACTTTCATGTGTTTAGATGAAAAGCTGAGCTAAAGCAGGAAGTATCTATGTTTTACTGCTGGCTCCAGAGAATACAGCCTGACAGCTAGTAACATCTGGCTAGTTTCTAGTAGAAACAGGATATTAAGTTCAGATCAGAAGTAGGGAACTTGTATTATCCCTGGAAAAAAATGGATATTCTGACATGGGCTACCAGTTCTCTTTTCCTGGACAAGGCACATAATTTATTGGATCCACCATTACAAATTAAACATGCCAATAATCTTTCTCAAATAATCAGAATGTTGGTATAATGTATGTTAAGTAGATATACAATAACTTGCTCAAACAAAGGAATCTGCACTGAATACTGGATAATCCATGTTTTATTGCCTGGATTTTTATGAATCTCACCCTGCCTGAAATCCAGAAGTGCTTCTAATAGGTGGTATTCTGGACTAAACCACCATCAATCTGAACTGATACTGCAGGCAATTGCACATGGTGTTTCTTGAGGACTGTCTTGAGCAGAAAGATTTCTGTCATACAACCACTTCTGTTTTCTTACCAGTCTAACCTCATCATTTGCATTATTGCTTTGCTCAGTAAAAAAAGGATACATGCACCTCATTCTGCTTCTAGTTTTTGACTCTACTTTAACTGAAGCCTATTAATCAGGCACTGCAACCTGAGATACACTGGAGTGGAATGGTGACAAGCTCCAAATCCAAAGATATTGTGTGATGACGTTTCAGGACAGGCATCGGCATATACAATATGGGTATGTGCACAAAAACTGTTGCCGACAGGCTTCTATGTTATCCCAGACCAGAAGAGTACAAGTTCAAGACCAGGGCGATAATTAAGGCATAGACACAAGGATCTCTGTATTGTGGCTTCTAGGGATGCCTGTCTTCAATTTACATCACAAGTGGACTGATGTATGAGGACAGGGTGTTGACAGCTATTTGCCTAAAATGCAGGCAAGGAACCTTTTTAGAACAATCACAGTCTTTGTCAAGAGAATATTCATCACTTCTAATTTCTATTGGCAAGCAAAGTATCAGACAGGACCGTTTATTACCGCTTAACCTCAAGAATCTAACTATTAGCAACATTTATTGTATATTTCTTGTGGAAGACTTCCAGGAAACTCCATTATTTTCCATTTTCATTCAGGAAAAAATGGGACTGATAACTTCCTTCTATTTTTCCAAGCACATGGAGGAACTATTGAAGCAGAAATCAGTATAAATACTGGGACAGAGTTGCCAACAAATTCATTTTTGATAGTTATTTTGAATACAAGGCTGAAGCCTATTGAATATGATGTGTGAAATGCATTTCCCTCACTTATTAGGCCAGAGGTGAGATGAAGGAGAAATTTCAGCAGATACTGGGAAAGGGCTAATAAATCTTAATAGTGCGTGGGCCAGATTATGGGCTGTAGTGTAGCAGCCCCAGATTATGGGCTGGAATTGTAGTTCATCTATCTGTAGTCATGCTCAACTATATATATTTTTCTGAGTTTGTAAATGGAGTTAGTATATGGAAAGCAGCAGCTAATGTAATGAAGCATTTATTTGATATTCTTGTTGTGCAAGTAATTCTCAAATAGTAGAAGGATCTGTAAATTAGCATTCACGTGCAGTTGACTGAGAAAAGAGATATAGATTCCTAATTTTAAAAAAGGAGAGTTAGTAAGTGCTCTTTATAAATAAAAGCCAGGAACTTCTTTTATTTGCAGTAAATGACATTTTACCTCGTAAAAACAAGAACATAGTGGACATTTCTGGCAAAGCAGCTCTTCTTCCCTTCTTCCCTTCCAATCATCCTCCTCCATTGGTCAATCTTTTTTTATCAGAAGAGTCATTCTGTGTAGTCACTACCGTATTTCCCCGAAAATAAGATCAGGTCTTTTTTTCGGGGGATGTCTTACCTGCTTACGTTAAGACCGCCATAGCCAGGCCTCCCATGCCCTGACATTTGCCTCGCCTCACCGGCCCACTTCTTCTGTGGATCTGTGCCACTGCTCATGGGGCTCCCTATGAGGAGCATCCGGAGGCTTCAGCTGGTCCAGAATGCGGCCGCGCGGGCGGTGTTGGGAGCGACACGTCGCTCCCACGTAACGCCGCTGCTGCGCGAGCTGCACTGGCTACCAGTGGCCTTCCGGGTACGCTTTAAGGTGTTAGTTACCACCTTTAAAGCGCTCCATGGCATAGGACCTGGATAT